AATCTTTTTAAACTTTAGATTTCTAGACTTTTAAAACTTTTTCGCAAAATATTTTTTAATAAACCTAGAAACTATAAAATAAGAGAGTTAGAGATGTTTCTTGAGTGGGGAGCTCGGATTTTCTTTTAGCTAAGTTTTAGCTAGAGAAATAGAAAAGAAAAGGTGAGAGAATAGAAAAAGGTGTAACCTGTATTAAAGAGAATTTTGGCCTGTCCAATGGCGCTGCATTTTCTGCGGGCCACCCTCTTTTCGGAGCGTGCCAGTAAGATTTTCAAAGTACAAATACCGTGCAGAATTATAGAAAAGTCTATTTCCGAGATTATACTTTCTCGGGGTGACTTGGCTGATTTTTACATTACTGCGCCGATTCGTTCGCTGTCTTAATTCTAAAATAGTGAAGGAGTGAAAAATGGCACTCTGTGAAAAATTAAGAAGATTTTTTATCGTGTGCGCGAATATCAACTCGTCGATAAACGCGAGTGCTTATATTTCATTATTAACAAATGAAGAAGAAACAAATTATATCATGTTTGCAAAATTCGTACCGGAGTGCTCGAAAACCCTATTGAGCATTATGTTCAGATTAGGGTATTTCACGGACAAAAGACTTTTAAATATTGTAAAAGAATATATAAGCGGTGCAATGGCTGGCGTGGGGGAGGATGATGCCGGCGGACATATCGCTTATTTTACAAGGTGCATCGAAGGAGATAAATATTTATTTTTAAAGTAATTGAAATTAGAATATGTAGGTATAAAAAAATTCTAAATTTATATATTTTTTTAAGAGAGATAACATCGCAATTGTACATCCGTACCAACTACGAGGATTGAGACGCCCCGCCGAAGATGAGACGGAAGGAGTAAACGAGCGTGAGTAAAATAATAGAAAATTGATATAATTGAAAATCTAGATTTCTAAATTTTCAGATTTTTAAAATATCAAATTAAAATATCAAATTTTTAGGACGAGTGCGAATGCGGATAGACGTGCAATCTGAGGAGGAGGAGGGAAGTATCCCAACGGTTGATCTAGTTTCAGGTAAGAAAATAGCAAATATTGCTTTCAAAATTATCTCACTGAATATCGAATTCAATTAATAAAAGCTTAATTTTGTTTCAGATGTGGAAGAAGCCGACACCGAAATTTACACACCGCGTGAGTAATTATTTAAAATAATAAAAGTTATAAAACTCGTATTAGCTAATCCTTGAAAAAAAGATAATAATAATAATAATAACGACTTTTTTAGTACAAGCAAACGACCTGGATGAATCCAAATATGGAGAAGAAGAAAATGAGGAGGAGGAAAACGAAGAAGAACAAGAAGAAGATGTAGATGAAGAAAGAGAAGAAATTGACGAAGAAAGACAAGAAGATAGAGAAGGAGAAGAAGATGATGATGACGATGACGAGGAAGAAGACGATGGCGAAGAAAATGAAAACAGAAGAGCCTTTGAGCAAATGTGCGATGGGCTTTTAGAAGAAGAGATTGAGGTTTTCCATCAGTGCGAAACACGGACGGGCTATTCTCCGGAAAATTATGAAGGTAAATTTAATATTATTTTTAAATTTTAAGATAATTTATTCTTTCCGATAAATTTATAATTAAATGTTTTTTTTTGCTATATTAATATGCTCTATAAAAGCTTTGTAAAAGCTAAGAGGAAAGCTGCTCAAGGTAAGAGATACCTTTGGTATGCTGGAATCTATTCGCTAACATAAAAATCGAGTATTAAAATTAGTAATTAAAATATTTATCATTAATATTTTTTGTTTCCCATTTTCAGTACAAACAAGAGGAGGCGTTTCACGCGAAGAAGAACAAGAAGATCGTTATTTACACCGGCTTCAGAACCATTCGATGGATCTTCAACAGCATCACCAGCAGCAACATCAGCAACAGCAGCAACACCAGCAGCAGCAGCAACATCAGCAGCAGCACCAGCAGCAGCAGCTGCAGCAGCAGCAGCAGCAGCAGCAGCAATAGCAGAAGCACCGGTTAATCGACGAGGATGCTGCGGTCGACGACAGTGACACGGTCAGAGAAAATTTTACTTATATTACGGGCGGAAAACTCCCGTAAATTTCAAAAATTTGAAGTACTAGGTAGGAAGGCGACATTCGCGATACGTCCTCTCGCGGAAGGTGCTAGCGATATCGTGAATTATTTAGAAAACGCGTTTCGCGAAATCCACGCGTATGCGATACGTTTGAGCGGATCGGGCGATTATGTGGGGTTATCCTTCGATTTGCCAAATTTATCGCCTGGCCCTGCAGGTCTTTCGTTTCGTCCGGCGCGAGACTTGACTCACGAGGACATATGGAAACTCGTGAGTTCGGTAGCGCAAAGCGCCAGGGATTTTGATATCGCGATGGATTTCACCATACGCGTTTTTAACGTAACGGTACCTTTGGGGCAAGGGGGATCAAATTAATTAACGCGAGAAAGCGTCGCGAAACGCTCGATTTTACAAATAAAAAATTTCGACAACCTATGCCTTCCTCGCTTCCTCGTAGCGGCGAGGATTTATTGCGAGCGTGGTACTCTGCGCACGGGAGAATTGCACGAACGGTGGGAATCGATAAGATATGCGATTTCTTCGTTACAGCGTGAGTTGGCGATTGAGTTAACAAGGAGAGCGTGATCCCCGAGGAAGGTTGCGGATATAATGAAATCGAGCGTTTTCAACGGTTTCTCGCCGCGGAAAATATCGCTATAATAATTTATAATTTTAGTAGTTTTGGCCGAGGTGAAAAACCGAGGTACGACGGTCGCGCATTACTCGCCTCCCTCGGACGCGAACCTTCGTATACATTAAATATAACGTATTACGAGGATTCGCGTCATTATAACCCTATATTAAATTTAAGAGCTCCAGGCGATTCGCGCGGCGGTTACTGCGAAACGTGCAACGAGGGCTTTCGAAACGATAGGGGTCATCGTTACGCAAAAAAATGCCCTCGTTGTCGCGCCTCACCTCCGTGCGTAAATCGTGATAGAGAAATAATTAGGTGCGAAGCGTGTAACCGTACGTTTTTCGGTAATTCTTGTTTCGAGCGTCACCGAGCGGAAAAATCATATAACGGGAAATCTCGCGCGAGCATATGTAATTCCGTTAAAATTTGTAGCGATTGCGGGCGATTTATACGTGCAAACACGATACATAAAGGCGACACGGTCTTTTGTAAAACATGTCGTTCGTTACAACCGTCGAATCATTTATGTTTCATGCGCCCTCTTGCGCGTAAAGCTAGTGATCCCGGCGAGGGTACAAACCCTGATAATGCGAGCAGAATAAAAGGTGTGTGAAAATGAAAATGATAATGTTGCGATGAACAAACAAACGGTCGTGTCGCGTTTATATTTTGAAACGCGGCAAGATGAGACGCTCGTAGGTGCCGAAAACATGAGAATTCATGTACCGATTTTTTGCGTAGCGCAACAAATTTGCGTAACATGTGCAAACGAAGACGACATGACGGTGCGATGCCGATGGTGCGGAATGCGCGAGTTTATATTCCGTCTCGACCCCGATTTCGCAACGCGAACGACAAAATGTTTCAAACAAATTATTTGTATCGCGCATAATGCGAAAGCGTTCGACGCGCAATTTATCTTAAAATATTTTGTAGAAAATCCGAAGAGCATCCATGAACCGCCCGTTATTTTGAACGGAACAAAAATCGTCGTAATGACGGTCGGACATACGAAGTTTATCGATAGCATTAATTATATGCCGATGCGTTTATTCGATTTACCGAAGGCCTTTGGTCTGAATGATACGTCGAATAAAAGCTGTTTCCCGCACTTATTTAATACTATCGATAACCAATCGTATATAGGATCAATTCCCGATGCTAGATATTATTCTCCCGATCACATGTCGCCGGAAGAACGCGAAAAGTTCCACGCATGGCACGCGAAAATGGTTCGTGAAAATTATATTTTTGACTTTCAACGCGAAATTATACAGATATTGTCGAAACGACGTGGATATCCTTCGACGAGCGTGCATGAGTTTTAGAAAAATATTTTTAGAATGTGGAAACGTGTGTCCGTTTGAGGAATGTACGACTATCGCTTCCACATGCATGAGAGTTTTTCGTAAAAACTTTTTGCGTAAGGAGGAAATAGGAGTCATTCCGACGGGCGGTTACAGAAACGTTGACAGGCAATCGCACAAAGCTCTACAGTGGTTGGTGTAGATGGAACGCGAACTCGGACATTCCATTATCCACGCGGGGCGAGGCCGCGAATATAAATGGCACGTCCGTTGATGAATATTACGAAACGGTTACGAAAATGGGTCACGACGCTGGGTGCTACAATTTCACGGTTGTTTCTGGCATGGGTACCTTTCATGTTTTAAAGTAAATCGCGATAGTACGCTTTCGTCTGCGAATCGCGGGGATATGATCGACGCGCGCTACGAACGGACGCTCGCGATGTCATGGCGCCTTCGTAAACGCGGTTACCACGTGATGGAGAAATGGGGCTCCTTCGACCGAGAAATTTCGAATAATAGAGAAATGCAAAATTTTCTTAAGGATCATTGATAAAGAACACTCCTCTCGATCCTCGCGAAGCGTTTTATGGACGCACGGGAAATATCGTCACGCGATACGAAGTTTCAGGTACGGAAAAAATACGTTACGTCGACGTATGTTCTCTGTATCCTTTCGTATTGAAAACCGGCGTTTTACCGATCGGGCATCCTAAAATTTACGTAGGGCAAGAGTGTTCTTCGTTAATCGGGGTATCACCAAATTATAATTTCAACTCGGTCGAAGGTCTCGTGCGATGTAAAGTATTTCCACTACGTGATCTCTTTCATCCGGTACTACCGTATCGCGTACAAGGTAAATTATTGTTTGCATTATGTCGGAGTTGCTGCGAAACGTTCTCACAAGTTGAGTGTACTCACGAGAGCCCGATGGATCGAGAATTCGAGGGTACCTGGGTATCTTGTGAATTACGCAAAGCCGTCGAGAAGAGTTATCTCGTGACGCATGTGAGCGAAATTTGGGAATATAAAATCGCGCGATACGATAGCGATACTCGTTAAGGCGGACTGTTTGCCGAATATATTAATACCTTTTTGCAATTAAAACAAGAAGTGAGCGGCTGGCCGAGCAAATGCAGGGAAGACGATGATGCTTAGGAGCGTTATCTTCGGGAATATGAGGAAACTGAGGGTATCATACTCGACAGGCGAAACATCGCACGCAATCCCGGTTTACGTTCGGTCGCTAAGCTTTGTTTAAATTCATTTTGAGGAAAATTCGGCCAACGATCCAATTTGCCGAATATCGAAATTATAAAATCTCACCGCAATTTATGACTTTGTTTACGAGTCCTGAGCACGAGATAACCAATATATTACCCGTAAACTACGAGGTAATATATGTTTTGTGGCGACTCCGAAAAGAGGCGGTCGTGCATTCTCCGCTTACGAACGTTGTGATCGCGGCATACACAACGGTGCAAACACGATTAAAATTGTACAGTTACTTAGAATTATTGGATAAACGGGTTTTATATTACGACACGGATTCGTGTATATATGTCAATACCGGCGATCCGAATGAGTATGAACCGCGTACGGGGAATTTCCTGGGCGATATGACAGACGAGCTCGAGAGCTACGGCCGCGGTAGCTACATCGAATCGTTCGTTTCCGGTAGTCCGAAATTCTACGCGTACATTGTTCGTACTCCGTCGGGGTGCACACACGAAACATGTAAAATTAAGGGTATTATTTTAAATTCATCGAATAGCGGGTTAATAAATTTTAGTAGTATTAAGAATATGTTAATAGAAAAGGAAAGAACAAGACAAGACGAAGCCGGTCCATCGATAAATCTATATTTCAGTACAATTCGACGCACAGCGTTTCATGATGTTGTTACGCGAGATGAAACAATATGCTCACCGGTATTGCTGAAACGTAGATTTATTAATAACCGTTATTCGGTTCCGTACGGTTATGCACCGGAATAAATTTTCTCGTCCTAATCTTTCTTAAATAATCGAGTTTTCCGCCCCTAGTCAAAGATTGTAAGAAATTTTTGTAAAATATATATTTCAGAGAAAACGAGATGTAAAAATAATGTAAATATATACATGTGCTAATATTAATTTATATCTTAAATAAATATTGTAATTTTAAAATTAAGAAGTTTTATTTTTATAAAATTGATGTTCGATTTATTTTAAATAAATCTATAAAAATTATATTTCTTAAAACATGTTTTTTCCCGTAACTCCTTTCCGCCTTCTTTCAGCCATTTAAAAAAAATAAACATATTTACATGCACAGAAAAAATTTGATTTTCTTTAATTTCCTCCCTCGCTGTATTTTTTATAAAAACAATACCTTTTATAGAAAA